ATCAGTCTGTCCTAAACAGATCAAGTGTAAGCTCTATCCAACCACAGAGGCAGGACAAAAACCTGCCTGTTTTTCTAGACTTGATTCTTAAAAAATAAAAATAAATCTGTTTCTTCAAACTGCTCTGTTCTGATACAGCATCAGAAAGCTCCATATTAGGTCTCTCAAGAGTAGCATCTTTTACCAATCAAGTAATGTAGCTTAGTTTGTACTCACAGATCCTATTTTTCCTCTTATTTTATAGAGAGATTCTCTTCCCCTCCAGAATGACTATAATTATTCTATAAAAATACAGAGCATATGGAACACTTTCCTCCAAGCAATGGAACAGAGTGCCATAAAAGCAATGAACATCAGTAGTTTATTAGACGTGGTTTCCCTTCCCCATCATCTACTCAGAGCTGCTGTGAAATTCTATCGAAGTCATACTGTGCAGGGGTACAAAACAGCTATGAAAGGATTTGCCTGCATTACATAGGGTTTACTGTTAATTAGCTCTTGTACACACACGCAGTACATAAAACCAGCTTTTTTGTTTAGGAAGTGATGATTTGTTGAGAGGATGTCCTTTGTTGATCTAAAGCTAGCATTAGGATTGTAATTTGAGTTAACATCTACACATCATTTTATGTAACCACTTGACAATGGTGGTCCTGGCTAATTAGTTTCTGTTAGTTAAAAGGGAAACGCAAATGAAATTTTCTTTGGGTATAAATAGAGACATCAGCTTACTCAGACCAATAACATCAATGTGCTATTTCTTTCCTATCATATCCACCACATGCTTCTGATCACAACTTCAGATTTGCAATCTCTTGCGCACCGGGAAACAGAAACTTCACACCTCCTTTAATGATCTCTCCTCTCTTAGTATTAAGTTGAATGAATCATAGGAAGGATGAACACATTTAAAATTCATACTTTAAGCAAAAACTTTGTTCACAGCCTAGCTTCAATAGCTGAGTTAGCCAAACTTTTCTGGTGGACTTGGGAGCGTGGAAGAACCAGCCTTACGTGACTGCCTAGAGTAATTTTCTTAATGGACAGAGAGTAATATTTTTAGTGTTTTTCAATCTTCCTTTTAGGCAATGGTTATCCAAATCTTTGAAGCAGGCATACTCCTCTTTTCGCTCTTTGTCCCAGAACTAACCAGTACGCTGTTCCACTCAAAGAAACGACCAACTACAATTGTTAGAAGGTATTGAAAGGAGGAGTGTCATTCTAGTAAGGGGTGGGAAAGGAGGCCAGCTAACTCCTTTGGGCATCCTGGGAAATTCCAGCCTCCGTCTGCTTTCCATCTTTGCTTTGGTGATTTCTAGGAAAGGTTGATAAAGAAGGGGGAACCCGAACTGAAGCCTTACAGTAATAATCTAGTACCTGCTCTCCCCACCCCCAAAAGGCAAACAAAACCAGGAAGAGCTACAAGCAGCTGAGAAAAGCCGGGGGACAAGGCTCTTGTCTCCTCTCTGTTCCCTGGTCTGAGATTCTCAGCACTGCAGGGAAGGAAGGAAGAAGACAGAAAGGAAGACAAAGAAGCAGTGATGTTAGTTACACCACCAGCTAAGGACTCCACCTTGCATGGGGAATTCTCTGCTGGCAAGGCCTGTCCCATTCCTTCGGGCCTCTGTGTCATCTGAGCAGCCCAAAGAGGTCAGCCAGAAAATCTGCTCAGCAAAAGTGACTCAGTGAATCACATGAATTACAATCAGACAACACTGTGATAGGGATGCTCTGAATTAAACATGGTATAAATACAGACAGCATACGTCACAAATGTGAGGAAAGGCTTTCCCTGCTGTATGATTTCAAGTACAGTATATCAAGAGCTATAATGACAATAACTGGAATTTGCAACTAACCACAAGCAGAAGAGGCACTCATTTCTCCGTGACTTCTAACTCTTTAGAGTTTGAACTTTACCTGACAGTTAAGAATACAGTGAAAACCTTTGTGAGGATAAATTGAATGCATTGAAAATAAATGTGGGTCCTCACATGGGGAAAAAAAAAAAGGCACATGAGATCCAGCAAGTAACCTAGCAGTCATTTGAAAAATCTATCAAGTAGTCTAGAGGAAAAGGGCTAAAATACCCTTATACATGGCACTGAGCTGGAAACGGGAAAAGAAAAGGGTTTCTTGCATACTTTTGGACAGAACTCTATTGAAACTAAAGGTTTTAAAAAACCCAAACACCTATGCAGAAAGACATGCAATGCATGTAAGGATTTTCTTCCACAGAATGTAAGGGACCAAACATAAGCAGAAAGCCTGAAGTTTCACTGGTCATTTGGAAAACAAGCCATGTGAAGCACATCTGATTCATCTTTATTAAACACGACAGTAAGAATTCCTTTGCTATTCTACCAGACTCTTACAAAAGCCCTCAAGTCAATGGATCATGGCAAAACCAATTTGCAACTGGAAAGAAAAGCAACACTGGTATGAAAATGGAAATAGGTGAAGATGAGAAATATCTCGGTGTTTGTGGTTAGAGTCCTGTTCTCACTTTCAGCTGCCTGACCAGCAGGCCCTTCAACTCACTGCTAATTCACATCAATGGAAGAAATTTGAGTCAATGGATAAAGGTAAAACTGATTATTAATTATTTTAAGGTCTATAAGTCTGGGGAAGGCACGCAATTGTTAAAGGGACATGAAGAAGGTTCTAAAGTGAAACACATTCATTTTTGATTTACACCCCTACCATAATAAAAAGTATCACTTTTGCCAGTGCAGTTTTGCCCATTTTTAGCCCCCCAAAAATGAACCATTTTCACACACACAAAAAAAGAAAGCACAATTTCACTAATCTAATAAATATAAAAGTATGAAATTTCCTTCTTTGGCTTGAAGGTGAAAGAATATATACGTACTGACATTCAAACACAATGCAGTAATTTTCCTAAAATAAATTCGGCAAAGTTGAAAAAAAAAGGTCCATCAGATCTAAAGGAAACATTTGAGGGTCTTCCCCCTCAGACTGAATGGAGCAGGAAATTATTCACTTAAGCAGAGTAAAACAATTGCTTTAATTTCCACTCTCCTTGATAATTTGCTTTACCACCTTGGCAGTAGATTAAAGGAGACAAAACCTATGATTTACACAACATAAAAGACAAAATAAGCATTGCCATCACATGGTTTAAGTCTGGCACCTTACTAGACAACACTTTCTTTAGTGTTGTGTCATCACATTTGAGGCTCCACTTCTTTAATTCCACTTTTAAATACAGGGCCCAATCTAACATCCACTGTGATTAACAGGAGTCTTTCCATCAAATTCAGTGGGTATTTGGTAGTACCTCCACAGACTTTACTAGTACCTGAACATTTTCAATACAAAGGTAAGGTTTTTTGGAGTTATACCGCTGGAATTAAACAGTGAACAAGGTCTGACTGGCTTTTGGGCTAATAGAGGAAGCTAGAGCGAGCAGCCTGTAACACTGTAAGAGAGTTACACTACAGTCAACAAGTCATCTTCCTAGTATAAAGCTCTTAATGTTCCCTCAAAAACTGTTTAAAAATCCAATTGATCAATACATGTTGTTTTAAAATCAGTTACTAAAGCAAAGAACTTCAGCACTGCCTTCATTCTCTGCAGTTTGGTAAGCCCCTTAAACTTATGTAAATAATAATACATTTTCTGTATTTGTGCTTTGAGTAAAGTTGACAAAATGGAGACCTTTAAAACTGATTGCTTGTTTTGGGCAACTCAGTTTGGATGAGTACATCTGAAAACGAGTCCCCCACAGAAGTATCTCAAACTGGATACTCCAGCTCAGAAAGATTTTAAAAAAAAAAAAAAAAAAAAAAAAAAAAAATTGAAATATTGAAAAACTCAGTCTTCTTCCGTTGCCTATTCATTGGTCCATGAATTAAGTCAGAACTGATATTGTTTTAATTAAACAAGTATACTATTTGATAGCATTTATAGAGTACTGTTTTTCAAGTCTAAACATGTTCTCCCTCAACAGCTACAAATAGTAATATTCACATTAGGTACACAACTAGGAAGGAAAGGCAACCTTAAAATCTTTTTTTAAAGACAAGGAAAAAAACCAAAGTAAAATGCTTAATGAGGTGAAGTTGATTGAAATGATATATTTTTCATCCAGTCTTAGCTCCTGACAGTAATTCCAAAGCCTGGAAGTCATACTAACCAGTTTGAATTTAAAAATAAACAAACTCAACGGCAACGAAGTGCTTTCATGAAAAAGAATGCAGAGTATAACTGGAATGTTTTGGGAGTCTTCCTGCATTAATTTGTTTTGATCGTCATTACTGAAAAATAAAATTGCTGCAAGGTTACAATTATTCTTTTTTTAAAACAGAAAATGAAAAAAAAAATCAAACAGTCCTATGTCAATTTCAGTCAGTTTTGCTGAAACTTTTTTCCACATGGAAGAAAAAGCTTCATTTGCTTTTAACCTCTGTCTTAAACAAAAAAACCAACAAATGGGAAAAAAGTAAATTCCAATTAAACCAGAGTTTTCACCTTGTTTACTTCTAGTAAAATTTCATCAAGAAACACGTAATTCTGCAGAAAATTTCAAAATTGAGCCCTTATTGATTTAACCTAGAAATTAAAAAAAAAAAAGGGCATCTTCTTATCAGCCTAAACAAGTAACATATTTAATTTGCTTTAAAATGGAAAAGTAGATTTGGATGCTCAGAGGCATATCTTACTTAAGGACAAATTATATTCTCCCCATAGTTTGTGTTTCTGAACAAACTGGATAGTATAACATTCCTATGGCAACCAGGGAAGGAACTTGTGTACAAAAATGGAAAAGTGGTGGATGTTACCTAGCATGTTGTGGTAAAGTGGACTGTCGTGTCCATGGATAGTAAATGCAGTCATGACTAGCGGGACCTCTACACCTGCAGGCAATTACAGAACAAAAGACGTCATTTGCCATTCACAAGGACATGCACACGCATGCGCCCTTGTCCACACGTGGAAGATGGAAGACACACAGGGAACGATCACTCAGCAAGTACCTATCCATCAGGCCGATGCAGTCCTCAATACGTGGTCCTATGCACCTGCAGCAAATCCAAATTGAAAATAGGGAGGGGTCAATTATTTACAGATCCAAGAAGCAGGAATCCCCTCTTTGTGCCACGTTCTTAATTATAATTCTCGAGAGACCCAAGTCACCACAAAATTATAGCTTGTGACAAAAACAAGCTTGCAATGGGAACAATAATATCAACATAAACAGCACTCCAAGGTTGGACATATCTTGGCTCAAGCAACACTTAACGCAGGTTTCACCTGCATACGTGGGAGTCCTGACAATAGAGTTGCTTTTTCTGGATGTTGTCTGAATCATCAAACCAGTGATTACTGCACAAAAGCTGTTCATTTGCAAGACAAGACCTCCAGGAGCACAATGCAAAACTTTTCTTTCTTTCTGTAATTGATGCAATTGTTCATTCTGTTCTAAGTTCCTAGCTAGGGCAACTGCAGAAGTATTTTGGAAGCCGACTATACTTTTACCAGGGAAGCTCAAGGCTGAACTTCCAACAACAAAAACCAGAGCAAAACATTGTCTGCCGATTCAGGCATTCTATTCCGCTTTCCTTAGATGCTGCCATTAGTCCTCCACCTGCAAAATCAGCAGGTGCTCACCAAAGGCAATGGAAATGCAGGGTATCACTTTATGCAGCAGCACTAAAGCACAACCATGGGGTTATAAAACATGGATATGCGTGGATTTTCCTTGCCCTCATGAAGAGCAGCAGGTGAAGTGGTGTCCTAGGTCCTCTGCATTCAAATAGCAAGTCAATTACAGATTTACACAGCAGTCAAGATTCTCAGAGACAGATACCTAAAGTTAAGCTTTTAGGGGTTAAGACAACCTGACACCCTTTAGTGCTGAATGCCCCGCTAGTCCCTCTGTAGCCATGGGGAGTATCTAGCTCTCAGCATTTTAAGGAAACCAAACCACTTATTTCAACTCTTTAACAAGATCTCAGAACCATTTTATTAACAGGCTCTTTGGCTGTACGTCTACTACAGGAGCAGGTGATCTGACGTATAGGTAGACTGAAACTCACTTCTGTTGAGGCATTTTAAAATTAAGGTATGATCCCCAACTCTTTTTAAAGTCTCCTGCTTTCAGTTTGGCTTTGATAGAGGGATATGCATGTAAAAAATCTGAAAGAGTTCAAATATGCTCCCATGAGATGATCTTTCCACTTCACCATCACTTGCCACTCATCAGCTTTTGCTGCATTTAAATCAGCTATCACTCTGCCATTATAAAATAAATTCAGTGAATTCTATTTCCCCTTACCTGCCCACCAGGGAGAGCAGAATGATAGTGAACCTTACCTCTTGTTTGTTTACTTGAATTTTTATTTTTACATAAAAACTGTGACATGCAAACACAAATTGTAAGGATTTCCTTAATAACAGTTTCCTTCAGCAAATGTGCAGACATAAAAAGGATTCATTAAATACCCAGGTGGCCAGATAATGCATAAACAGAAAGGGTAGATTTACATGCAGTTCAAAAACTTAAGAGAGAACTCTTGATGGGTGTTTTTTGAAATTTCACAGCTGTCCTGGGCTTCAGGACTTCAGAATTCAGGACTGTCTGAATTCTAACCAGTCTCAAACATATCTAACATTTCTTTCTTTCATGGCATTCTCAGCAATTTACAGAAAACCAGTTCAGTAATGAAGGAGACTGAAAAAAAGTTGTTCAGATCTTCCATTTCCCTAGCACGTCAAGAGAAGCTGAGCTCAGACTCTTGCTATAAAAAAAAAAAAGGCGTCCCTCTTTAAATTAGAAGCCTGAGAGCCCATTACTAGTTCAGATAACTGGCAGACCAACATAAAGAGCCTGTTGTCTTGGAGTCATTTCACATCTGTACATTTATTCTCTCAGACTTCTGGAGAACAGGACTTGAATCCAAGAAGAGAGAGCTGTTTGGACCTCACCCACTCAAAGTTGAAATACCATTGATTTTTATTTAAATCTGTAATCTTCAGTGGATTTCCCAGCCCCAAACAGAAAACTCTGTCCAGGTGCAACTTCCATTACTCCTAGTCATGTTGAACAGTTTCCTACTCTATGAGTGGCTGTCCTGATTACATGCAGCAAAGTACAATGCTGTGTAAGTAATGGCAATGTCTATTAACAAGTTATTTTGCACCACCAAGTCATCAGTTATTTTTCCTCTGGAAGTAAGTCCCTTGGTTTCAGGCTTTTTTGACACAAATAAGTACAAGCATGACACAATCATACATCACATCGGTACTCCATTCACCCTCAGGGCTCCTTCTTCCGCTTGGAGTCTGGATGATATTTTCATTTCCAATTTCACTCTGTAAAATGAACTGGTTAACTGATACATGCCCATTTATTAATGATATATTCAGTACCTTACAACAGTCCAATACAGCTTATACAGAAAATTACACTTGGAGCTCATCCTAGCTTTACAGATAATCATCCTCTGAAAGAAAATGATGAGTTAAAACAGTTTTGAAAATTGGAGTAACAACTGTTTTCCTGAAACAATCCTTTTCCCCCTCTGTCACAAATATTGTCTTCCATCAATTTTCCTTAAGATTGAAAGGTGGGGTCTTAACTGTTCACAGATGCGGAGTAGCGAAGCCATTTCTAGTCAGGTGAATTCTCAAAAATCTTTGTCATTGGAAACAAACAAAACTGATTATACAATGTCATAAATGGATGAACTCTGGACAAGAGAAAACGTTAGTTGTGGCGATGACCTGGTCATCCAACCACTGCTATGGATAAAGCCAGACAACTCAAAAACAGTGGGTTACTTAGCTGGCAGGAAGTGCATACTGATGGTGATAGTAAGAAAGTTGAACTCGGGCAGGAGGTAGGAGGAAATTTTGCATCAACAAAATAGTAACAGTTTCTTATTCAGTTTGTTGCCATTGAATTTGCACTATTGTTTCAACTGAAATTCATAATGCCTTCCTAAAAAGGCATTAGGGAAGCGATCGTGCCCCTGTACTCGGCACTGGTGAGGCTGCACCTCGAACACTGTGTTCAGTTTTGGGCCCCTCACTACAAGAAGGACATTGAGATGTTGGAACGTGTCCAGAGAAGGGCAACGAGGCTGGTGAGGGGTCTGGAGCACAAGTCTTATGAGGAGCGGCTGGGGGAACTGGGGTTGTTTAGCCTGGAGAAAAGGAGGCTCAGGGGAGACCTCATTGCTCTCTACAACTACCTGAAAGGAGGCTGTAGCGAGGTGGGTGTTGGTCTCTTCTCCCAAGTAACTGGCGATAGGACGAGAGGAAATGGCCTCAAGTTGCGCCAGGGGAGGTTTAGATTGGACGTGAGGAAAAATGTCTTTACTGAAAGTGTGGTTAAACATTGGAAGAGGCTGCCCAGGGAAGTGGTTGAGTCACCATCCCTGGAAGTATTTAAAAGACGTGTAGATGAGGCGCTTCGGGACATGGTTTAGTGGGCATGGTGGCGTTGGGTTGACGGTTGGACTCGATGATCTTAGAGGTCTTTTCCAACCTTAATGATTCTATGAAAATACACCTAAGTTTTAGCGGCAAGACAGTCCTTCTGCCTTCAAATCCCTTCTGGACTACACACGTGTTGATAAGGCTCCCATGACTTCTCTGGTCTTGGCTTAGAAGGAAAATAAAGTTTTGGTGAAGAGTAGTACACTTCCTTCAAAAAGTTGTGTGAGAAAATGCCTTTCTATGATGAGGGGAGGTGTCCAGTGAGATCTCCCATTTGTGTCTTGCCCTGCGAGGAAGCAGACTGTCAAATGCTATTACATAATTAGTATTTTACTTCTGTGGAAGTGTTCCATTTTGGCTAGCTCTGAAGGAAGAGGTGCCAAATGCTTTCCAACTCTCTTGAATTAAATGGGGTAGCTGTCCCATGTGCCTCGTATCTGCTCCAAACTGGCTTCAAGTAGCTGATGTTTATCATGGGGATGCAAGGCCAAGAGCACAGTTGTTGCATCCAAGGAAGTCACTCCTCAGTAGTTCTTTTAGTCAATGTAAGATCGTTAAGAGGGCTAGATAATTACACACCTATTAACAGAAGCACTCATTATATTTGAATAAGGGAGGAGAATGGCGTTATCAAATCTCATGCTCTAGGGTGTAAAACAATCATCTGCAAGTGCCATGACAAAATTGTGGCAAAACGCTCACAGGAAACACAGAGGTGGGACAGAGACCTTCTTTGGTGACAGCAGCAGGTGGGGATGACTAGAAACAATGTATGAGAGCTAACAATTCATTTTAGCAAGCACCCTGATTCAAAGAAAACTGCACTGCAGGAATGAGATAATACCACACTGGGAGCACTGCTCTGCAGCAGCTCAAAACTTTTTGATGAGTATCCACGCTGTACTGCGAGGGCATCAGTTTTATTCCAGCAATTGATCTGACAGAGAAGAGAACAGACATGCTAGATGAAGTGGAATTACTGTTTCTCTGTACCATTCAGTCGTGAGACAAATATTAAGATGTGTTCCCTCCACAATCTATTTCACTGAAGAATCCTGATTGAGGGGAATTTAAATATTAATTTCTAAAGGAAGGGTAGGAAACTAGAGAATTCAGTATTGAAGGGGAAAAGGAGAGAGAGTAACTGATTTCCCTTCTCTGTGGGCACATTCAGCCCTTGACAACGTTGGCAAGAAGATGGACAACCCATAAACCTCAAACATCGAGGCAGTCATTAACAGTTTTATTAACATAATCACATGCCAGAAAGGAACACTAGAAAAGAATACCCATGCTTACCCAGATTTGGGGGGTGGTGGGCTGTTGTTTTCATGAAGGGTAACAAAATACCTAAGAATAGACACATTAACTATTTAATAAGAGGATGAGGATTTCTATGAGGAATAATATTTGACTCATGGCAAAGGGATAGCTCCTCATCTGGGAGATAACCACACCTTTGCGTATGTAACCTGGGTGAGACCTCTGGCCCTTTTACTAGTGGTAGTTTGTCATTGCTCTGGGGATTGGCACACGATGCTAAATAAGACATTCTTTCATCTAATCAGCTGCAGAAAATAAAAAGAAGGGAAAACTGAACGTTCAAGGATTAAATGACAACATAACTCAGAATAAAGGAACCCTGTGTCACCAAGGGTTGCCAATCAATACCGGCAAGTTCAGTTACAACTGCCTGATGCTCTTCCTATTTGTTTATGAACTAGAATGTCAGATTTTCATCACAAGGCATAAAAGCCTCCCTTCTTTATCCTGTTCTATCCAGGGAGAATAAAACAAACAACCACTTGCAAAATACTGACGCATATGAAGTGGAAAGGCATGGAAAACATTCTGTTCCCTTCCTGGTCTAGGAGAAAGACAGTTATGCCACGAAGATTAGTAATCATTAGTGATCAAGTTAGACCATTTAGACCTCCCCAGAAAAGAGGAGGGAATGGGAAGAAATGTCACATCCTGGTCTTCTGAGAGGCCAACAGACCTGCAAGGCACTTCTTATGCAGGGCAGACAGTAAATCTATCATCCATAGCTGGGCTTGTCGGATTCGATCAGAATTGGCACTTCCACCATCTATTAAAGCCAGGACCAGAGCTCCTGCAGTGAGCTCATCTTTTCATATTGTTTCTTCTTACACTCTTCTTCCACAGTAGCAGCATTTTTCTTATTGCGTAACTGATTTAAAGGGTCTGAGGGGAAGACAAGTCTGTAACAGATCCTGGCTGTGTCTTTGCGATCTCACTTTCATTTCCCTAATGGCTCTATTGTAATTAGATTTGCAAAACCAGCAAAAGGTCTCATTTTGAATGGCAACAGCTGTTGACATCAAGATTACATTGAATAATTTACTGGTTTAATTTTAGCTGCTAAACAATAAAAGCCTCTTGTCGAAGATTATTTCACTGGCTGGAATGTTCTCTTTTTTCCCCTGGCTGCCTCTCCATTTCTTTGTATGCTGGACACCAATCGTCTCATCGAAAGACATTTATAACTTACGTGGCCCATGCAAAACAACAGTTGTGTATGCAACTACTACTATTTTGTTGCAAAGATTCTTAATTCTGGCTTAGATACATTGGTTGTATATTTCCAAATGTAACAAGTGTTTTTGGGCACTTAGACAGGACTTGAGAAATTTATGCTCAGACTCCTGTACAGAGTCTGATTTCAGACAAACCTTTTGCATCAGTTCCCATATGAAAAAGGGGGCAGTAACACTCTCGTCTCATGGTAGCACTGCCAGGTTAGTTCATCAATACTAAGGAGCAGACATGAAAATTCTGTCAACAAGTAAATACTAAAAATAAACTCACTGTACAGGCCTACCCTTACATAAGTGTTAATGGCAGCATTTGCTACAAACCAGTGCTAGCTAGCAGGAAAGCTAAGAGCACTGCTGTGAAAGGTTGTTCTCTGTGGCTTTCAAAAGGGGTGTAAGCTTTTGATAAGCTGCTGGACGTTCATGACTGGAACTTGAATGTCATGAGAGACCTGGAAATCAAAGGTTACAGTACTGCTGCACACACTCTGTTTTCAGGAGCGGGACAAGTGCTTTACCAAGCCGAACTGTATCTAAATCATGATGCACTACAAACAGTAAATAGGATGGCTCACTTCACAGAATTTGCACTTACCCTTGGGTGCAGTTTGGATGACATGGATGGCACTCATGATCCTCATCAGCGTATTTGAAAATGAAGCTGTTGGCCCCCTGTAAGCCATCAGGACATTTTTCCACACAATTTGGACCATCCTTAAAATGGAAACACTTTGTGCAGTGGTCAGGTCCCTGGAGAGCATGGAAGAAAGAAATGCAGTTCATTCAAGTTACTCTGTCTTTTCCTGCTGCACTAGAATTGCAGGTCCTGGCATGACAGCACACTCAGCAATAACTGTAGCAGCATTTCTTTCCCAACAAACAGGGTAGCTGCATGGTTCCAGTCTCTGTTAGAGCAGTGCACATGTAAATCCTGGTGATTTTGGCCATAAACCTATTCTGTAGAGCGTAAGACTAACTTCCAGCTTCTAAACAGCTTTATCAATATTACTGGTGTGCTTAACACAAAGGACTTCATGCCCACCTGAGAAATTTCCTGCAACACTGTTCAAAACTGAACCATATTTGAAAAGCAACTGCAATGGCCTTTCAGTGGGATCCCCTACTCCGCACTCCAGAATTACTTTCCACACTGTGTTCTCCCTACAGTACCTGGTCACAACAATACGGAATAACTACAAGGTCTACTTCTTCTTAATACATATGTAGACTAGACTGTTAAGAACTATAAACCAAGGCTCCTGGACAATGTAAAAGTAAAATTTTAAAGCTGCGGTGATAAGCCAGTGTATAACCAAATCTGGTGTTCAGGTTGGGCACTGGTCTAGGATTTTATGTCCATGAGCCCTGCTACAAATCCAAATTTCCCTCATGGGTTGAACACTTGAAACATTAGCTTCTTGCTTTATGGTTGTGTTGCACAAAACACGGTATTGCCACAAAAATGATGATGAGAATGATTGTTAGTGTAAGGCCTTTTTTTTTTTTTTCATTCAGTAGGTAAGTCACAGAAATAAGGAAATAAGTTACGTGTTAGATTTTCTCAATGATGAAGAGCCTAAAATACAACTCCTCATTGCCCAGGATACTTGTGATTTTTAATCTTGGCAGTATACAAAAGACCAAAAGAAAGAGACAACTTCTATCTTGCAAAAGAGCAATAACCTTTGAAAGAAGACTCGCTGGCCATTATAAAGGTGACAGCCACAGTTAACATTCATTTAGGATGCATGAAAAAAATTCTCATTCAAAACAACCTAAAAGGCTAACTTAAGTAAATAAACCCAAACAACATATTGCTCAAGCTCACTGAGATTGAGACAAATTCCTACACTTTTTTGGTGGAAAAAAAAAAAGTAACTGAAGTTGTAGTAGAACAGGACAGAACTGAGTATAAAGAATGAAAACAGTGATAAAAGAGGGCACTCAAATCGCAACTGAATGCTATCTGTCATTTAAAAACTTTGTGGATCTGTACCACTAAGGCATTAAGACAACTAGGAAAGAAAAGGACACTACTTTTTAAACCATTTTCTTAAGGAGACTGATCCAAGGAAGTTTATTCCCAGCATCAATTTAACACGAGCAGAATTCTTTCTCTACATGAAATAATATGCATTTTTTTCTGCTTTTGTTAACATTAATTTTCAATAGCCACTCTAAATTCTTTAAGCAAAAAATACCTGTGCTTTAGGACACTTTAAACAAGCTAGCCCATAATACACCAAATTTTGTTCTTACCGGCCCATAGCACGTGATCATGTTTTCTTCCATCTTTTCACACTGGGGATCACACTCCACACAGACAGAACCATTTGCAAATTCTCGAAATTCCCTAGGAAAATATTTTTGCAGGCAGGTTAGGAGAAAGCAAAAGCAAGACTGAAACTGAGACATAATAGCTGGCTCTTCACCTGGTGGAAACCATTTCAGCTTCACTAAGGTCAGCAGACTGTGCTAGCTGAGGTTGCTTCTGATAACGACATTATGCTGCTTTACACCAGCTGAAAACCGGGCCCCATCAGCAACCTCATTCATAGGCAGGTGAAGCAGTAGACATCTTGTTTACCAGTATAAAACTAGAGTGTTTTTTCTCCTCTTTCCTTAAGAAATAAGGACCTCATTAACAGGACAAAGCAGCTCATTTCTCAATTTTTATCTATGGAATTGTCCCCTCATGGCTCAGATTCAGGAAACCACTTGTTACATGCGAGACATCACTATCAGATAGGAAAGGATTAGAAAAAGCATTGATCGCAGTGCTGTTCTTGTTGTTTTAGTTAAGTCTCTGTGCAGACTCCTGTTTTAAAGCCCATTCTACAAAAGGCTCATAACTTTTTTATCAACCACAATTCTAGACTGAGGTCTGAATCTACAAAATATCAAAACAAATCCTTTTCCTCATTTATTTCATGTATCCACAAGAAACTATAACCCAAGTGAGTTATTTTTTTTTTATTAACCACTTATAAGGGGGGAAAAAAGTAGTGATAGTATGAGGGACTTCTTCCTTCAAACACCTGATGTCTCATTTCAGCTTCCAGTTGCCACTCACAAAAAAACCTCCAGCACCTTCTCAACACAATTCATCCCACCTTCTAGGCTTAGATGAATTAACACCTGAACAGGTCACTTCTCTTCCACTAACCACAGAGAGAATCTATGTAACTAGCTCAGACTGGACACCTAAGCTTTGCAGGTGGATCCCATCTTGTTGCATTAACCAGTTAAAATATTCATTAAACAGTTAAAGATGTGCTGCACACTCATGTTAGTGGGCTCTAGTAATATTCAGGTAAAGGTGAAGGCCTCTGTGCTTAGTTTATCCACATTCTCCCTCTGCTCCTCTACAGCCATTAGGATCTATTGCAACAATACAGCTGAGGAAAACCTCGCTTGATGTTGCTCACTTGCTCACATGGCAAGTAAGCTCACCCTTCTCTGGCTGTGGAGATAGAGCTTTCCTGTTGAGGACTAAAAGAGAAGTCAAATACATCTGACCCAACCCTGAAGCACCTTTGCTGCCCTTTCAGTTTGAGCTGAAAAAGACAATTAAAATAATTTAGTTTTTTTATCTTAACTTTAAAAGAGGTGGCAGGGACCTTGCTATACTGTTATACAGGAAGTTAAATTCTATCTGCTTCCCTCCATAGCCTAATTATGAATTTCTTCTGCTGCAGCTAATATAAGCAGTTCAGCTCTATATTTCTGTCATAAGCCTTGGCTGTGCCGTAGGTAGTTATTCCCCCACCCATCCTCCAGAAAAGGTGATGCACATGCATGAGTGGGAGAAGGAAGGGGGGGGAAGAACTCATGTTGGTTTTATTATTTATATTTGTGTGTACACATACATAGTGTGTTATGAAAACAAAAAGAGAGCGAGTTTTCCCACTTTGAGGTCCTTATCCTTTATCACATGCCTAAATTTAACTAATCTGAAAGAACATAACTGTATGTGTTTCTGAATAGGGGTGTCAATATTCAAGTAGGGCTAAATGGTGAGTTTTTTAGTCTTCACCCAAATCAAATTGTTCACATCATCAGGAATGCAAAAGGTGCAGCAAACTTTTGATGTTGCATGAAAATTTTAGTCAGCAGAAAACTAGGTAAAGCCTTCTACACAAGTTCAGATTCGGAAATACTTAAAACTTACCCCACAATATATTTCACTCAAAATCAGTAATATTGGCAATGGAACCAGATATTGATTAATGTAAAACCAAAATAACTTACTCATTAAAGTCCTGAACGACATAGTCAGCAACTTTAGGGAAAAGTGCAAGGGAAATATCTTACCCATCATACAGGTTACAAGAATCTATGCAGGTCCTTCCCCTGATGAAGCGCTTGCAGGAGAGACACTGGTCTGGCCCTGGCCCCCAACAGCCATCACTTGAGCATAACTCATTACACACCATTCCATCGGCAGCTGCAGGGAGAGAGGATACTGTCATCAATTTACATAGTCCTCTGAAATCCAAAGGAAAACATTACATTCAGCATTCTGCCATACTCAGAAAAGTAAACTGAACCTTCAGATTTTCTAGAAAGAGAATAGAGAAAAAACAGAAAATTATCATCATACCACTACAGAAACAAACTGTGCACTCACAGTTTGAATACTATACACACTTCTGGTCTGTTCCCTTCAGAAAGGAGATAGTAGAATGGGAAAAAGATTTAAGAGCACTGCAAGGATGATCAAAACTAGAGAAGAGCCTCTATACCAGGAACAAATAGAGGAGTAGCCTTGGATATGGGTGAGAAAGGACACAATAAAGGTCTATAAAATCATGACAAGAAGATGATAAGTAAGCATGAAACGATTGTTCATTCCTTTGTCCAAGTCCCTCATGGGCATTCAAAGAGACAGGAACCCAATAGGGTTCAAAACTGAAATTTTTCTTCTTAGAAAGTATAGCTCAAGCTGCAGAATTCCCTGACACAGGACATGGTAAATGCCAAAAGTTTAAAGGATTTGAAAAATCAATTGTCCAAATCCACAGAAAGGCTATTAAACTAAAATATAAATCACTACATCTGAACTGAGGACTCCCTAAAATAAAACTTATGGATGGTGGGGGAAAAGTTGAAGAAAAGTTGTCATTAACTGCGGGTTTTTTAATTGTTTATTGCAAAAGCACCTGAAGAACCAAAGAGACTTTATATTAAAACCCCCAAAATACATAAAACAAACAATGGTCCCTGTCTCAAAACCAAAATTCAGCTTAAATAAACAAAATGAACAAAGGGTGAGGGGGAAAGGTTGTTTCAAACAATATAATTAATTCTGTATTTTTATTTTATATAAATCCTTCTCCACATAAATATCTAGATGACTGTGACAGATGGGAGAGAATAAGCAAAGAGCAAAAGGAAACACATGTTATCTCTCCAGCATCTGAAGAAAGTCCAGTTGCACAGATTCAGCCAGACCCTGGCATGTGAAAGGGTAGATTTCTTAACCTGAATTCACTCTTGCATGATGAAATGTTTTATGCAAATGGTTACATAGTAGACTGTGTAGATTAAAAATAGCAAAGATCTGAAATATCAGAGATGGCAAATATATAAACACTTTTTCTTTTAAACCACTGGAAACAACTTGAGGGAAGTGTCAAATAATAAATTAAAAGTAGGTTTGTTGGTAGAATTCTACCACTCCCTCCAATGCTGTAGCAAAGATGCCCAGTCAGGAACACATACACACTGAATACTGTTTTATACAACAGCAACTGCATATGCCCAGCACACATTTAAAGAGGGGCAATAGCAAAATCAACAGAAAATCTTTTTGCAAAAATGCAAAAAAGCTCTCTGGCAGCTTTATATTAAATAAAAAGACAGTAGTTCTTTGCGCACTATTTTTCTACACTTCTTTCAGTACAGCAGCATAGCTGGGTGACTGGAAAAAAAAGCCCTATTTTCATTTCAGGATGCCTGATGGTCTTGTCTCCACTGTCAAGACTGGAACACTGCAGTTAGGTACTGTCTATTACAATCTACCATAACAATTAAAGAGTATACTGAGTTTTATTACCTGAGAAGCACAAAGCCCTTCTAAATCATGAAAGAGTCAACAGAAAGATGCTTTCTGCTCTCCACATTATGTTTTAACACTGGTTATTCTGTGCTATGGTGGATATAATGTCCCACATTTGAACCACTGAATATCTGTCATAGCAGCCTACTGTACGGGAGAGCACACTGCTTCACACAGCGACTCTCTCTCTAACTGCTCTTTAATCACCGGTTTTCATCATGCATCATTGTTTGATGTTGGCACCGTGTTTGTCAAACACACCTTTCTGATCTATACAGCATGCCTAGCCTATGTCCTCTTCTGTTTCCTACAAGGCAATTCCTGTACCTCCTTTTGCCTGCTGACATGCAGGAAGTTCCTGCCACACTGGCAGGGGGCTTTCCTTTGACATACACTACCTGTCCCGTCCCTCCTCCCACTGTCACCCTGCTTTCTGACCACTGAATTTATAAGAAAGCACTTCTTTCAGAAAAAAAATATGCAACAATTGTATGCATGGTTTCTGTCTCCTAGCCCATGTAGCAAGTAGGCAGGAGGAGTGAAGCTTCTTCCATATTTCCTTTCTTCTTGAAATGGGATATTTTGCTTTACTGAGATTGAGAATGGCAGATTTTCATCTACTTGTTTCTTTTTCTGCCTAGAACATTTTCATAATTCAGTGCCAAAAAAGGACATTTCACCTTTACAAGAAGCATAGGAACCAATCAAAGATTTCATGTCCTCCAGCCCTTGCAGGCAAACTGATCCAAGAACAAGAGATTCGCCAGCACGCTTCCTACTTGTACAGTGCTGTTGCTGACCCTGCATGGCTCTGCTGTACAATACATGTAATTCAGCAGGTAGATGAGCACTGTCTTATTCAATACAATAACCTTGGACATGAAAAGTGTGCACACTTATGTCTTATCAAGGCTGGAATGCTCGAATACATTTTTTTTTTTTTAAATATCACATATACTTTCTTAATGACAACATCCAGAAGGTGTTCAGAAGTATCTTTTTGGTTCTTCTTTTGCCTCAAAGCTCAAATCACGTACAGCCAAACATAAAATAATTAAGTTTAGGAGTAATTCCAGGTGTTAATTTAATTTCCTTTAAAGCGTATTAATTCTCAGAGATTCCAGCACAGCAAGAGAGACCTGAGCTATTTAGCATGCCATTTTTCCCTGAGCTCTGCTGTAAATCAGGAGTCATTCTGCTGCAGTCAAAGGAACCATACCACACAAAGCCAGTATGAGCAGAGACAAAAAATCCAGCTTTTCATTACTGTCCTAACCCTAACTTTTTTTAAGTGTGGCAATGCTTTTATAACAACTACCAAATGTCAGTAGTTCCACTATGCTGCCATTGACTAAAATTCATAGAAATCAAAGGAACTAGGCGAAAGCTTTGCATTAGCAAATACTACATGTGTAGCCCACACAGCTTCCTTTTTCACCTAATTTTAGACATTTTATGTGTATCTCAGTCTAATACTGGCTTTGTGCAGTACAGTTCTGGAGGCGCATTGACTTGGTATTAAAGGCCAGCTTTCGCCTATTTCATGTTCATTGCCTACAGGAGCACCCAGGAAAAAAGTTCCGGGTGATACAGCTGGTCGTTTCAGGGGAACCCCAATTATGCCTTAGGATTTAGAGCACACTTGAGGGCTCCCTCAGAGCAGACTCCAGCACTTCATGCCTGGTCTGCCAATCTCCCTTGATTTCATCCAGTCTCACGGTGACGTGTGACTGACACTGACCAGACAAATATACGAGTCCTGCCTCACGTTGCCTGCCACAGGGACACCTGGGATTAACAGACAGCTTCAGGCTCAAACTGTATCAGCAAATAAAAAAAAGAAGGAAGAAAACCTAAACCCAGAAACTATCACAGTTCTAATTAAGCAAACTTTTTATATAAATAGTTTCATTTTCTAGTTAATGACTCACTTTAAGTACTTGTCACGCAATAAAAAAACCCACCCTGCTTTGGAGATCCCTTTGTTCTCATTTTCCATCTTAAGAATATTAGTAATTCCTCTGATTTTGTTTTACACACTCATCATTGAAAGGCAGTTTCCTATTTGCTTTCTCACCTTTTTTTGTAACTTGAAATTGTGCTTTTATTACCAGTGATTTCCTTTCTTTTCGCTGTTCTCAGCTGTCAGTCTACACTGGGATCAGAATTTATTTACACACGCATGCACACAGTGTTGCACTAAAATATCCCTTCAAATAGCAGGTGACACTATTACAAGATAGCTCAGAAAATATACAGAGTAACCTTATGCAAATAAAATGAGAGCTTTTCAGTAAAGAAAATCATGATTACCCTATTGAAATCTAGTCAACACAGTGCCTGTAGTCTATGAAAAAAGCAATAGGAAAAAAAATAATCACTATTTTCTTCTGCTTATTTCTAAGTCATAGAAATGTTTTCATAAATGAATACTGACAAGAAGGGAGTAGGTTTTTTGACAACTTATAAAAACCCATTATGCTTGTCTGTCTTCCTCTTCTTTAATTATAGGGATGGCTAAAGAAATGTTTCAATTTTAGACACATTCTTTGGCATTTCCATGAGCTGAGAATGTTCTGAAGCTCCAGCATATCACATGGCCATATGTGGAAGGAAAGAACAATAATGCTTTTGACAGGAACTCATTTTCAACGGGCGTTTTAGAACAAGTGTTCATTCTTTATCAATGGGGTCACACAGGTTAGAAGCAGAAAGGTTCAATGTTTTTCCCCAATCTAGATAGATCACAAGAAAATTAACTATCTAAAAAAAGAAGAATTATTGTTATTTGGCTATAGACTTATGGGCCTGATCCAAAGCTCCGTGAACTCAATAGAAAAGTTCCCACAGACTTCAATTAGCTTTGCATGACACCTGATAATGAACGTAATCATTTATTCAAGTTGTTAATTGGTGGCTAAATTGGCATAATTCATAACAATCACATTTATAACAACCTTTGCCTATAAAGGTTTCACTGTACACTGTGGGTGTCACTAAAGCTGAAAACAATTATTTAAATAACTTTGTATAAAAGAACATTTTTTCTACATTTATTTTGTGTGCACTCATATTTAACATGAGTCACCTCTGACTGTTCTGTAAAAATCCCATGCTGAGAAAAAAAGGCAGATTTTTCACTTCAGCACAGAGCAACGGTAAAATCTAACTACCAGAGCACATTCTCTAGTAAATAACTTTATAGTCATTCATTCTGCATCAATAATGTTCATAACGAAGTAAGTTTTATGCACAAACTGTGTTTAACATCACAGTTTATAGTACTAGACAATTAAAAGCCTACATTAGATGAGAGCTTCATGCACTGCATTTTAGATAAATGCTCTCCAATTAATTTCCACTCGGCTTATCAGTTGTAAGATGCC